CCTCTGGAGTGCTGGGATGACAGGTGCATGCCACCACTCCTGGTTCCCAAGGGTCACTTTGAGGCCAGCTCCCTCTTTCCCGTGGGAAGGCATTCCACACTGTGGAGTCTACCCCATCTTTGGCTTCTACCTATTTGATGTCAACGATGTCACCCTGCCCCCCACTGCGACAACCAAGATGTCCCCAGACCCTGGGAGGGGGTAAGCCCTAGTGAAGGGCTTGAACACAAGAGCCAGCCCCTGCAGGTACATACAGCTGCCCAGCCAGCGTCTGAGCCCCACAAGACCCCGTGCCATCTTCCTGTTCCTCCGCCTCCTCCTCCTCCTCCTCCTCAGCCCCGTATGCCATCCTGGCACCGGACAGGTGCACCACAGCAGCACCCCCACAGCTCCGGGTGCAGAAGGCACAGGCCATGTGCTCCATCTTGGTGGCGATGTCACTGACCACCACCACCTGAAAGGGGTGCAAGGCCTGCTGGATGAAGCCCTGCTCCTGTGTCTCATGCAGGCAGCCCAGGAGCTCCAGGGAGCCCCGCTGCAGCCTCACTGTGCGCCTTGCTGTGGATCCAGCCCAGCAGCTGCGCCTGCAGGCCCGGTGTGATGACCCAGCGCAGCGTCCTCTCTAGGTAGCTCCGCGTCTCCCCATTCAGGAGCCCGAACAGGAAGCGCACGGTGACAGCCAGGAAGCTCTGGTCTGAAAAGGCGTACTCAGCAGCGTGGCCACCTCGGGCTGGGGGCCCACAGTGCTGTCCCCACCGGCCAGGGCATAGTGCATGGCTGCAAAGAACTCCTGGAAACTCAGGTGGATGAAGCTGTACAGCTGCTCGCAGCTGATGTCCTTCTGGAAGACGCTCACATTGAGGAAGGCGGAGACTTCGGCACCTGCCAAGCCATGCCTCCGCAAGTCCTGCTCCTCAAAGAGGACTTTCTGCTGCCAGAGGCCCTCTGCGGCCAGTGAGCACAGGCCCCTGTGGTTCGGGGGACCCTGCAAGGTGGGGGTGCCAGGCCTGGGCTGCAGCAGGCTGAGCAGGTAGAGGGTGTACACGGCCGTGGTGGTGCGTGACGGGGGCCCCAGGAGTTCGCCGTCCTCCAGCTGCTGCCGGAGGCAGGTGCAGACCACCCAGCACACCAGGGGCACAAAGCACAGCGAGAACAGCGGCTCGCTGCCGCGCACGAAGCCAAAGGCTAGCGCCGCCTGCTCCGGCTGCCCGAAGAACCTGTGGAAGTAGTGCTCCCGTTCGGCCTCTGAGAAGCCCAGGATCTCCACCAGCCTAGGCTGCTGCAACAAGCCCTGCAGCCGCTCCATGGCGCAGGGCCGCGTGGTGACCAGCAAGGACACCTCGGGCAGGAGCCTCTTGGCCAGCAGGCTGCTCAGCAGCAGCTCCGTGGGCCGCTGCTCGTCCCAGCCCAGGCCCCAGGGTCCCTGAGGGCCCTGGAAGGTCGCGCGCAGCTCATCTAGGCCATCGAGCACCAGGAGGACGCGCTCAGGGTTGCGTAGAAGCTCAGGGGGCAGCGTGCCCGGCCCTGGCCAGCAACCCGACAGCAGGTCGCGCGCGCTGCGCTCCGCAGGGCCCCGGCTCAGCTCGCGGCAGTCCAGGTAGAAGGCGACATCGAAGCGGCCCGCGAACAGCCGCCCGTCGGCCCAGTCCAGCACCGCCTTGCGCGCCAGCATGGTCTTCCCCATGCCCGCCGCGCCCTGCAGCACCACGGTGCGTGGTGGCTCCGGCCGCTCCTCGTCCGGCTCAAACAGCGTCTCCAGGCATGCTGCCACCCCCGGGGGTCCCCCGTGGCCCTGAGACAGCTGCGGCCGCGTGAAGCGGCGCCCGAGATTCACGCTTTCACCCGGGCGCGCGTTGCGGTCCCGCATCAGCCGGAAGGTCCTGCGCACGTGCGCGCGGCAGGCGTCCAGCGGTTCTAGGGGTGCGAGGGGGCAGAAAGATGGTCAGCGACACTGGCCAGCCCTGGGGCACAGGCTGGGCCGGGCCTAGGCCTGGCTGGCTGTGAGAGCAGGTGCGATCAGAAACTACGGTCAGGGCTTTTTTTTTTTTTTTCGCCCCAGACAGGCTCTCTATGTAGCCCAGGCTGGCCACCAGCCCAGTGATCCTCCTGCCTCAGTCTGGGCGCTGGGATAACAGGCGTGCGCCCCCACATGGCCGTGTCCGTACAGAATGCCAAAGTTTAAAAAATGTATCATAGTGCCAGGGAGACAGCTCAGTGGCCTAAGCGCCTGAGGGGAAGGGCATGGACGCGGGATGGATCCCCGGTACCGGTACCGCAGGCAGTGCTGGTGCCGCGCTGAAACAGGAAGATCACTATGAGTCCAAGTCGTATAGCAGTACCCTGTACCAAATACTTTTTTTTTTTGGCGGAACGGGGGATTGACTCAGGCCCTTGCTTGCCAGGGAAGCGTTTATTTCACTGAGCCATCTCCCCTGCCCCTAAATACCCTTTATTATTGTTATT